AAGGAATTAGATTTGTTCCTTATCAAATTGCCAACTAGCTCTCATTATTGGTAGGTATTTGTTGAAGTTGGAAACCTCACACTGCTCACAGGTTATATAAACCCAGACACATTTGTGGAATAAATAAGTGGAAATGTTTTATAATGTAAAAGCATCATAACCTTTGATTAATATTATTACTGAAGGATTGGAAAATAGCTCAGTCAGTATAGTACTTGCTACAAGTACTATACTTCAAGCACAAGGCCCTGAATTCCATCTCCAACGTGCACATAAAGAGCTAGATGTGGAGTATGTCCTTGTAATCCCAGCAGAGGAGGCAGAGGCAAGCAGATTCTGGGGGCTTTCTGGCCAGACAGCTAGATTCATTGGCAAACCTCAAGTTGAAGTGAAAGACCCTGTCTCAAAAAAACAAGATAAATGAAGCTTGAGGTTGTCCTTGGGTCTCCACAAGCATGCTATTCCAGTTTGCTGTCGCAGAGATAAAAAGACTCTGACCAAAAACAACTTGGGGAGGAAAGAGTTTATTTAGCTTACAAGTCCACAGTTCATCATTGAGGGGAGCTAGTGCAGAACCTCAAGACAGGAACCTAGAGGCAGGAGCTGAAGCAGAGACCTTAGAGGAATGCTGCTTACTGGCTTGTTCCTCTGTCCTATGCTCCACTGCTTTCTAAAACAACACATGACCACTTGCCCAGAGGTGGCACCATCCACATGGTTTGGGCCCTCCCACATCACTCAGCAATCAAGAAAATGGCTTGCAGGGCAGTTAAGAACACTGGCTGTTCTTGCAGAAGATCTGGGTTCGAATCCCAGCACCCACATGGCAGCTAACAACTGTCCATAACTCCAGTTCCAGGAAATCCAACAGTCTCTATTGTCCACTGTGGACATTGCATGACGTGGGTACACTTACCTACATGCAGGCAATACACGCATACACATAAAATAAAAATAATAAATAAAATATTTTTTAAAAAAAGAAAGAAAATGGCTTGCAGACATGTCCACAGACCAATCTGGTAGATGAAATTCCCCAGTTGAGGTTCCCTCTTCCCAGGTGTGTCAAGTTGACAACTGAAGCTATCAAGCACATGGGCACACACACTAGCATTTGTCCACAAGAACACACACACACAAACATACAAATGTTATTTCTAGGAATCTGTCAGAAGGAAAATTTCAAAATCTAAAAGCAATTTATCCATAAAAAGGTCATGTTATTTACAATATTGAAAAATGAAGATATTGTATAATCCCAATTATATGCGTAATATAATAGAGGGGAACTCACAAATGTTTAAAGTAAAACAGTGGTTTCCAGGTGCTGGGGAGTCAGGGAATGGGGAGTTGTATACATATATTAAAACATCACATTGTACTCTGTAAATATGTCCAATTATTTATTACTCAAAAATATTAATAATGATTCTAAATGAATTAGTTAAGGAAGTACAAGCAAGCATTCTTGAGGGGAAAATATTTTAATTACAAAAACTAGTTCTAAAAATGAATAAATTGATACATATAAACCAGAAAATACACAATATCATATTTATTTTTAAAATGGGATTTTATTTGGTACACTGTCACTGACTACATTTAACTTCTTGCTACTCAAAAAGCCCAAAGACTTGAGGACAAGTGGTTGGGGCAGGAAAAAAGGACTGGAGGACTGGGAGTAAAACTCAGCTGGTACAGTACTTGTCTAACACGAAGGAAGCTCTGACTTTGATCCCAGCACAGCAGACGCTGGGTAGGGTAGTGTCCTCCTGTTATCCCTGCACTTGGGAGGTAGAAGCAGGTATACCATGGGTGCAAGGTTGGCTACATAGCATGTTTGAGGGCACCTTGGGCTACAGGAGACTGTCTCAAAAAGAGAGAGGAGGAGGAACAGGAGCAGGAGCAGTATTAGTCAGTAAACCAGCAACCCAAAGAAAATGAAAGGCTATGGCCAACAAAGTCCACCTTCACTCAGCCTGCGTTTTAAGCTCCATTTTCCCCACAAAAAGGGGAAGAATACAGGCTTAGGTGAAAGAAGGACCTGATGACTAAAAATACCTACAGATTGCTATGGTGGTCTGGAACAGGTCCTGTGGAACCTAGTAATTGGTTAAGTGTTGATCATGACATCAATCTAAACCCTGAAAATATCTTATTCTTATCTGGGTGTC